CGAGACCGGGGCCCCCCTGCGCGGACGACGGCATGTTTCCTGCCTTCCGAGAGCAAGTGCTGCCCTACGAATCAATGGTGTAAATAGCTGCGCTAGACCCTCTCCTTACTCCGTCCTTCACCCTCCACCCTTGGGGCAGCGGGGGAGAGACCAAGACCCCACCGCAAGAATCTGGAGCACATTTGGCTCAAGCATAGGTTGTAACAAGTCACCGGCAGGGCTTTGGAGAGCCGTCGTGGACCCCGGCGGTGGCCCTCTTTCAGCACAGTCCTTGTTCTTCCCTCGCTTTCCCCCCCCGGAGTCACGCGTTCAAAGCGAAGTGGAAGCACTCTGCTGAACGGGGACAGCCACGCTCGGCCACGCACATTCATTTCATTCGTCCCAAACCAAGGGTGACTGCCTTGCGAAACCGCAGTCCCAGATCCTCAGCAATGAAAATAGCTCCAAGACGCTCTAAAAGCCTCCGCTGGCAACACGTGTTACAACCACCAAATGTTTTGTCTGCAACTAAAGATTTATTTCCAGCCCCTTCTGTCTTCTCAGGCACCTGTGGGAAAGGTTATTGCTTTCTGTGTATATGAATTGCCACACTGATTTCTAACTCCTTGCCCTCATGGCTACAGCCTCTTCACTTCCAAGCCTACTGTACTGTACGGTCCAATAAAGAGCATTTGTCATTTTTAAAATCTGCTGCTTTTTTGGCTTTTCTTCTCCGCTGCTCCGGTTATCGGTGCGTGCTGTGCCCCAGCTGCAGTCGGGACTCTCTGTAGGCAGTTTGTGAGAAAGGATCGTTGCCTTGAGGAGACAAAACTCAGTTTTAGGACTCGGGCTCTGGGACAGGCTGGGGAGGGTGGAAAGGAGGGTGGGATGGATGGAGAAGGGAGGCACGGGGAGGAAAAGCTGCCTCAGGGCTGAGACAAAAGCTGGATGAATCCCACTGCGGCGGTTAACTGCAAAGCTGCCCTTTCCGTCCGTCACTGCAGGAGTGAGAAAGCACGGAGGAGTGGGAAGAGGAAGGTGATTCCCAAAGGTTGAGCTGGGATTCATGAGTTAGCACATGCAGGGCACGGCTCAGCCCAGCCGTTAGTTAATACAAAGAGCAGCAAATCTCACGGCAGGGGAAGCCAGCTCTGGCACCGCGGCAAGAACGGAGGGGAATGGAGCAGCCGAACACCACCCTAACCAGAAAGAGCAAGTGGAGGGGGGGCAGCACTAGCAAAGAGGGGTGGGCACAGGGCGAAGCGCCCAATATCCGCACACACAGTATTTGCCCATCGAGGTTTCCCTGGCACATGCAAGTACCTCACTAAATATCCTGCTGCTCCTCTGGAAGGGCTGTTTCGGGGCCTCAGCTTCATTTTGAATGAACCTGAGGACTCCCAAGGCGCCTGCGGCAGCCGGGCTCCCAATTCCTATCCAGCCCCCCAGGGAGGTTTCAAAGACCTGCCTGAACAGAGGGTTTCAGCCAGGCTCCCGCACCGTTCCTGGGCTCCCTCCTGCGGCTCCAAGGGCATCCCTCGGCTCTTGCTCCCTGTGAGGCTGTAGGGCCAGGCCTGACTCCTGGCAGCAGTGACTGGGAAGCACGGTGCGAGGTGGGAACCCAGCCCCGAAGGCAGGAGCTGGAGCATGAACCAAGTGAAGAAAGGGCCCAGGGCAGGAGGGGAGCAGACTTGGAAGAGCCCACAGCCTATTGGGGATGCTGGTCCCAAAAGGAGACCGGTTGGTGTCCACCAACCCGCCCCTCATGCCCTGCAAACTCCAAGGAGGGGGTGCACCCAGGCAGGACCCCAGGGAGAGAGAGGAGAGGGGGCCACCAGCCACGTCTGCAAGGCAAAAGCACCTCACGCACGGCGTGCCGGAGCGCTCACCGCAGGGAAACACCTCCGAGTTCCTGAGCCGATGGGACCCCACGCACCCGTCGCGCTGCGCGGAGGCGTGCAAGCACCAGACAACCCAGCACGGTGTCTCCAGCAGGTGGGGGCCCCGAGCAAGAGAAAGACATGGTGCCACCCTGCAAGGGCTCGATGCCCTGATGGTCCTGGGGTGGGGCTCACACCCACGAGTTTCCCCTCCCGCACCCGGGAAGAGGCAAAGGAACGACGGCTTTGGAAAGTCGGGGCAGCCTGTTTGCACCAGAGGAGGTTTTGCGAAGGGTAAATGGGTTGGGCTTCATTCATTTACAGTTTGCACCAGTTTTCAAGCATCTGACCATGTTTCTCAGACTGTTTTAAGGGAAGCAGAGCGAAGCAGAGGCATTTGTAACAGGCAGGGCATCCCAACCGGGCTCTTGTTGCTAAAGTACATTTTGTTGTGAGCTTTGCTTTTCTTTAATTATTGAAGATGTCAAATATAAGTGTGTTTTGGTTTGATTTGTTGGGTTTTGGTGGGTTTTTTTTAAACAGTGGCATGCACAACACATTGCTGTGCCATCAGCCGCATCAACACGTGGGCCACCACCAGCACCGAACCCTCCACGAAACCTGTTTGTGAGCCGCGCTGCCAAGCCCTGACCCACCCCTGCAGTACCTGGGCAGCCCTGCAGCCCCTGTCAGTCTGGTGCCACAGGCGGCTGTCGGGCCCTTCTCCTGCGGTCCGAGGATGCTACTGAGGCAAAAAAAGCACCGAGCAGCCATCAGTGTCTTCTCTGTTTCCACGGGAAGTGTTTTAAGAGGCCAACGCGGCACTTCTCTGAGAAAGCAGACAGCAGACGCAAAAAGTCACCTTCTATAGTTACCTCCTCCTGATTTGCAGAGACCTGGAAAACTCACGCATTCAAGCCAAACTTGACAAGTAATTTCAGCTGGCAACTTAAACATTACGTGAAACATTACTTTAAAACCAACATTTAATTTCAACATTTTCTATGGGAATGATTCTGCCTCTGGAACGCTGAAACATCTTGCCTTAACATTTCCCAAACGAAACTTTGCAGCTTTTTGAATCAAAAGCAGAATTTTCATCAAAGACAATTATTCTGTCTTCATTTGCAAATGGTTTACACAGCCTGCAAATGAAATAAGGCACAAAATGGCTGCAGGGAAGGTAGCGCAGGACGCAGCAAAACCAGCAGCGGAACAATATTCCCAGCTACCATCTGCGAGGCATGTTCAGTCTGCGCGTTGCTATTTAACCAGGGTAGCAATATCCCGCTGCCCAGAGCGGTTGGAGATTGGAGCCTGGCCGCACACGATGCCAAGCGCCGTGGGACAGCAGCGGGGACCTCCGGGCTCACGTGGAGCGCAATACAGCGCTGCGCGGTAAATTGACGTGAGGCCCCGTAAAACTGGTGCGCTGGGACTGGGCACACTTTCCAGGACACATGAATAATCCTTGTTTATCTTACCAGCTCTGAGGGCAGCACTGTGTGGATCCAGTTTGTTTTAACAGGGAGAAATTAAACGTCCCACGAGGGCTACGGCGCTTTGCAAGGGAACTCGAACGAGGAGCGGCACTCAGCGCAGGATGGAGCTGAGGGACAAGCCACGCGCGGGCACAGAGCTGATCCAAAATAATGGGACTTTCCAGCAACACCGCTTCCAGGGCTCAGTTTATCGGGAGAAAAGACGTATCCTGGGGCCAGGAGTACGGACGAGACGCTACAACACTGCTGCGATCACCTTCAGTGCCGAAGGATCTTGCTTTCCATGTGGAGCTCGGTGGAGATCACAACCGCAGCAGCCCTACTCAGGGATTAAAGACAGGCTTGGAAAGCATCACAACGCAATTTGGGATATTTAGGTTTCTTTGGGTACCGCCATCTAAGCACCAGTGTCGCACGTAGAATAGGATAAAGGAGGTATCAGTTAATACCCACCTAAGGTCAGAGGTTCTTTCAAGATGCAACAAGCCACAGGGGGAAACAAGACCTCCCCGCTCTGTATAAAGCATCTGGCAACAACAGCAATAATGAAGGCAAAGCTATTCCAAAACCCTGGGCTGCATCGGTGTCTCTGTGCTAGCCCAGAAAACAATTATGTGGAGAAAGCAGGTCACACCTACACTTCAAAGTCATCTAGTAGTTATAGCTGACTGGCCTCCAGATACTGCTGGGAACAGGCTCAAAGGACTGCAACACCCATCACGGGGCAACACCTATGGGAAAGCTTCTGAGGAGTTCATCCTAATTCATCCCTTCGGGAAATGAGATTCACGGACACTCGCCTCCCGCTGAGGAGGTCTCTCAGAGGTGCTGGTCCCCGCAGCACAGGGATGCTGCGAGTTGCCTGGTTCCCCGTGGAGAAAGCACGGGGCTGACCCGCAGGACTTCATTCACTGGGGATGAAATAGTAAATTACGGTCAAAATGAGTAGGGTTTGAATTTAGGTTAGGAGCCCAAGTTTAACCCAAAGGCTTTAATTTAAGCAATTAACCTAAATTACAGCCTTGACTTTACTGATAATTAAACTGAGATTAGGTAGCACAGGTGAACCAACCCAAGTTAGCAAAACATGCTCGTATTTTACAAATACACGTATTTTTGTGAACAAAACACACAGAGGCACTTCCAAATATTTCAGCCTTGTCTGAGAAAGGGCATCCACCATCAGGCGCAGGCGGTGGAGAGGAGCAGCGGTGCGGAGAGATGGAGAGGAGGTGATGAAAAGCTGTTGGAGGCATCCCCTGTTCACAGGCTGGGTCCACAGAAAATGGCTCAAATTTTCTCACCAAAGGGGCTGGAGTTGCCTTTATTGCCCTGATAGAGTCAGAACCCACTTTCTGAATCTCAAAGGAGAGTTATTACCTTGATTTCAGCATGATGCGGGAACCAAACTCAGCCAAGACTTTACTCCTGGGTTTACAGCATGGTGTAAAGGGATCTCCTGTCTCTTGGCCTGGGACTTGCACCCGCTGCTGCCTGCCCCCTCCGCTCAGCCTGGTAGGAAGAAGTGAGGCAGGAAAGGGAAGCAAAAGGCTTTGGAGCCTGCTCAAGCTCACAGACGGCCTCTGCCATGTCAGGGGGGCTCTCGCCCGGCGGGACCTGCGCAAACACAGCTCCCTTTGTTTGATGAGGAGGAAAAACTCCAGAGCAGCTTGAGTGAGCCCAAGCATTATCCTCTGGCGGAGGAGAAAAAGAGTGTATCAGAGCAAGCTATCTGCATCAGAGCTGCAAATTCATTACATGCCTGGAGCTGCCGGGTGCATGGGAGACACTCCCCCAGGAGCTACCTGGAAACCCTGTGTTTCATCAACAGAGCAGGGTGGGGGCCCCCCTTGCCATCACCCCATACCCCAAACCTGTAGCTACAGCTCCTTGTGCTCACAGTTCTGCCTTTTGTAATTACCTCTCAAATTCCTTCCAGATGAGTGACAACCACATCACCTCCACCCTAGTGCAAATGTGAAATGGAAAGAAATTAATTTCTTTTTACTTGGTTGGAGGAGCTGTATTATTACTATTATTAACAATGGACTCCAACGCAGTTGGTGTATTCTTTAGCCAAAAAAGACAAGTTTCATATGTAAAAGGAGCCCGAGGGCAAAAAGGAAAGTACTGACGCATCACGCTGTTAGTAACCGAGGGTGGGTTTCAGCCTGGCTAACTCTGCGGAGCCTGAGTCAGCCATCTGGTCTACCCACGTAGTGTTGGTGAAGGTGGAAAGCCATCTTCAGGGGCCTCTCCGTCCGTCTACCTTAGGGTGGGAGAATCTGCCATTTGGTGGTATCTCCGCCGAGTACACACAAACACAGAAAAGCTTTCGGATAGTCAAAGTTACGTGAGATGGGTAGCACCCGAGAGCAATTCCCAAAGGAGCCACAGGCATTTAAGAAGGCTGGCGACTTGCACCTGCCTTTGAATATCTTGCTCTGTGGGACTTGCATCTATATGAACCAAGCACACTGCGCTGGGGGGGGGAGGGAATCCATCTCATGCATTCAAGTCGTGACATCTGCCAACTGGTGGGAAAAACCCTAAGGCTGATCAATAATCCGCTGCCTTCCAGATGCGGAGCTGTTGGTTGCAACCCATTTACTTCCACTTCCCATGGGTGCAAACGTGCAGAGAGTCGGACCCAACAAGACAGACCCGCCGGGCAAAAAGCACAGGATTAAGCCCTTCCTTACAATAAAAGCTCCGTCTTGTAATAAACACCAAAATAAACTAACAATTGCTGTTTACTCCCCCTTCGTTTAAAAACTCAATTTTGAATGCAACCCATCTGAAGGAAAGCAGCTGGGGAAACAACGGGGACTCAAAGTATTTCTGGGAGCCTCCTTGACCCAGCTACCTTGCAAGACAGGGGCAGATCGGAGCACAACACCCCTCCACCATGGTGAGCCCTCAGTATGATGCTATTCCTATAGTGCAGCAGCTGCTCAGACTCACAGACAACACAAGAGGAAGCTGTTCGGGGGGGATGTGTTTGCAAATTCACCCTCTTGTATAAATAAATGAGGCATGAATCATCTTTTCCTGAACAACCCGAAACACAATGAGGGCCAGAAACACTCGCTGTCACTCAAAATGAATTATTTTCCACATTTTTGTTACTCAAACTGCCTGCTAGGCTAAATGCAAAGCAAAGGGCTGCGCTGGTACCTGCGGCCGAGCGAGGAAAGATCCGGGACGTCTTACTGCGTCCAGACCGCCGTGGATCTGGGCAGAGGGAATCCTGCAGAGCGCTTTCCTGGTGGATTCAAGCGGGCAGGATCACGCTTTCAGATGTGCAGTGCTGAAAGAGTTGATTCAATCTTTAGGAAACTACATCGTGTTTATAACCTGTGAGTCGGGAACAGCCCCGGAGCACTCCATTTCCATAGAGCCAGTGGATTCAAAGTAGCTCCCATTCCCACAATCTTTCCTCCTCTTTTTTTTTTTTTTTTTGGTTGTTGTTTGTTTGTTTCCATCCTGCTAAAACACTGAAGTCCAAATCTTCAGAGCCGAGGTACCAGCACAACTACTTGTTGTAGAGCTCAATGGCAGCTGTCAAAACCCCCACACAAACAAAAGACCTTGTCAAAACGTTTCATTTTCATCCCTGGATTTTTTTTTAGTGACAGAAGAAGAAGCCTGCAGAAGCAGGATTTTTCAGAAGAGATCAGCTCAGGGAGCTGAGCCTTTATAGGGATGGAAGCAAAACTATTTCTGCAGATGTACTGTGGTGGCAAAGAGGGGACCATGCAACACGCGTCACAAAAACCCAGGACAGAACAATTTACTGCAGGGCTTGCTGTACGACGCCACTCTGCCCAGCATCAAGCCCTTTCCCAAAATACAAGGGACTGTCACTTTTCAAAGCCCTGCTTGTGAACAGAAAAGGGGTGAAAGGAATCCCGAGGGATGAAGTTTTCAAATGAGGGAGGCGTTGAGTGACAGGCATCTTGAACGGTGTTTTCCTCCCTGTGCCCAACGTGACTCATCGCAACTTTCGAACGCTTTGATATGGCGAAGAGCCTGGCTGTCTACAAAGACGGCAGAAGGCGACAGTTATTCCCAAACAATACCACTGTTGCTCAGAACCCGGCTATATTATTTCAGAAGGGCGTGTGTGCGGAGTGAGTTCACTCTCCAGAATGCTGTTGGACATGCCAAGCCTAATTAATCAGAAAGATGATCCACCTCATCAAACCCATCCCAGTCTCATACATGCATAAAAGGGCTCTCCTGAGCCCGTGGAGAGCACAGGTTCATCTTTCTCCTTTCCCTCCTACTCCTTGCTCCAGGCCAGCACCTTTGCTCCTTTATTCTTGCTGTAGCATCCATCCCAATCCAAAAGCCAGCAATGTCTCGCCAGTCCACCGTGAGGATTCAGAGGGGAAGAAGTGGCTTCAGCGCTGCTTCGGCCATCGTCCCCAACACCTGCCGCACCAGCTTCAGTTCATGCTCCGTCACCCGGGTCGGAAACTGCAATGCTGGCAGCGGGTTCGCTAGGGTTGGTGGTGGCTTTGGAAGCAAAAGCCTCTACAACGTTGGTGGATGCAAGAGGATCTCTGTGGCTGGAAGGGGTGGTAGCTTCTACGGATCTGCAGGTTTTGGTGGCGGCGCCGGTAGCGTGTACGGTGGTGGCTTTGGCATGCCAGCTAACCTTGGCTATGGATATGGTGCGTTTGGTGGTGGCATGGGTGGCCCTGGATTCCCAGCTGGGGGCATCCACGAAGTCTCCATCAACCAGAGCCTTCTGAAACCTCTCAACTTGGAGATCGACCCTAGCATCCAAAGGATCCGAAAGGAGGAGAAAGAACAAATCAAAACCCTCAACAACAAATTTGCCTCCTTCATTGACAAGGTGAGACGTGAGCTTCCCTAAATATCTTGTCCTGATTTTTTTGATGGGGACTCTTTTCTTAGCTGCTTTATGAGCACAAAAGCTGATCAAGAAGGAATAGAAGTAAGGAATGAGACTGGAAGATGCCCAGTCCCCAGAAACTCCAGGGAACGGTACCTGTTACGTAGTGGTTGCTATGAATTAATCATCCAGCATTCGAGGTCCTCCTCATTTGCTGCTTGACATCCCATAGGCAGTGGAGAAAGAAAGCTCTAGAAGACAATCCCATCCCTCTGGAGATGTTGGGGTCTCTCCACTGAGCATTACAGGAGCCTCAATAACAGTTTTTTAGATGGTTAAAGTGAGATGCAAGCAACCTATTTAAAATGACAAAGAAAGGAATCACATGAGTTGGCACTAGGGAGAAGAAAGCTTCTCATTGCTTGAATTTCCTCAAAGGCATTTAGAGCTACCGCTGCAACAGTACCAGCATGTTTGGACTGTTAGTTCAAAATAGCAAAACCTGATCTGACACTGTCTGTCCACTTCATTTCCTTGTTAACTGTATTAAACGCACAAGAGCATCTGCTTGGTTTCTGCTCCGGTTGAGCCGCTCCTCTTTGGTTTCAAGGAAAATGCTACACCATTTTGGAGCTTTTGTGGGGGGTGGGGGAGCTATACTGAAGGGAAGGAGAAATGGCACTTTACTATTGTTCTCTTAACAGGAGTGCGAACCCTGTTTCGCTCCTTATCTGATTTCAGATGCACTCTTCACACAAAATGCCTGCGCTTGGTCTTGATTTAGCAAAGCAATGAAGGGGAAGCATGGTGTGGGAAAATCCATAGTCATTCTAGAGTTTGTTTGCAACACTAGGCAGGGTCCCTGCAGTCAAACAGCAAATTCCTTCTTCTACCAGATGAGAATTTGGCTATGAAAACCAGCTGGAAAGAGTATTTCAGCACCTCAGCTAGTACTGAGACCCCACACTTGCAAGGAAAGCTCTCCATAATCTCTGCTCTTTCAAAACATCTTCAGGATATTTCTGCTTGCAGGTCCGATTCCTTGAGCAACAAAATAAAGTGCTGGAAACCAAGTGGAGCCTGCTTCAGGAACAGGGGATGAAAACAGTTAGGAACAACCTGGAGCCGATTTTTGAGACTTACATCAACAACCTCAGGATGCAGCTGAACGGTTTGCTGAGCGACAAGGGAAGGCTGGAGGGAGAGCTCGTCAACACACAGTACCTGGTTGAGGATTTCAAGAAGAAGTAAGTCTATTGAGTTAGTGGTCTACTTACCCAGGTAGGCGCAGCCTTTCTCCATTCAACATCCTGAAGCCAACTGGGGGATCCAGGAGAGTCTGGGACACAGGAATTCCTGACAGCGAAGGCTGCAACATTTTCTCAAGATAAACGGTAACGGAGTAACAGATCCAAATGCACAAACATTTAGGGAATAATTTAGAATATGATCAAAGACTTATTAAACTAAATTACCTACTGAAAAAAAAAATTACACGGTTGGTCTGAGAGTTTCAGGACGGCATGCTTAATTTGCTTAAGACAGGCAGAAGGAGCATGACTAATGGCCAGAAATAGGAAAAAAAGAACAGATTCTTTAAAATTTAGGTACTTGTTTTAACTAGTTTAGCCTAGAAACATGCTCATGGTCTCTTATTCAGATGCTCTGCAGGAGAAAAGAACATTGTATGCAAAATGCTCTTAAGGAAGTTCATTCCAGCGAACCGAAATCACCTCCGTCTGTTACTTGCCTAAACAAATGCTCCTTCTGCTCCCCTCCATTAGGTATGAAGATGAAATCAACAGGCGTACAGTAGCAGAGAACGAATTTGTGACACTCAAGAAGGTGAGAGCAAATTACAGAATGCCATCTGATGACTATTCGTAGAGCTCTAATCACCTGTTCATTCACAAATCCACCCATTTGTATTCCAAAAGCTGCTTTTTTTTATGGTTTCTTCCCCGGACTGTTATTGCAGAGATATGTGTGTTCCTGACTTGCTAATAAGAGTTTAAACCACATTACCTAAATCTCTCGTCCTCCAGGATGTAGATGCTGCCTATATGAACAAGGTGGAACTACAAGCCAGGGTAGATGCGCTGATCGAAGAAATTAATTTCCTGAGAGCCCTCTACGAAGCAGTGAGTATAACCACCTCCCGAGACATCTCAGCCCTCAGTTAGGAGCTTCCCTCCCTCCTCTCCTCCAAAAGCCTGTAATTTCTTCCCCCAGGAGATGCTAAATCCTTTACCTCTTCAGTTATACCAACCGTCTTAGCTGTTTAGATAACAATCTGTAGCCTCTCCCAGGTCTGCACGCTCATCTAAAAGGATGAAAAGGCATCTCCCAAGCGAATTAGCTCACCTAATCCCCGTGCACTTTGCAGGAGCTGTCTCAGATGCAGACGCAGATCTCTGACACCTCTGTCGTTCTCACCATGGACAACAACCGAAACCTGGACCTGGACAGCATCATCGCGGAGGTCAAAGCGCA